GCATTTGGGTAGCTACCCCAGTTACGGCTATGACGTATGTTATTTCATGTTCTAATGTCCGCACCTTTAATTAAAACTATTGTATAACTAGAGGTGTATAATAAAATGTTGCAAGTTTTGAGATTGCTAGATAATATCTCTAGGAATTTTCGGATTTTTCTAGTAAATTAATTACTAAAAATATCTGTATAACTTTGGCATTATTAAGTAGAATTTACTTTTCTTAGCATAATAGCTTTCTAAGCACCGCCTTAGTGCTATTTGTCTTGTTTTATTTTGAGTTGTCATTCAACATTAGGACACAAGTATTATTTTTTTGATTAATTTATTATATTAAGATTTTTTTAAATAGTTATATACTCAAATCGCTAACTTATATTTGTACATTCATATGTTTAAACCAATCTTAATAATGTACCTACTTAAAAAAAAATTATTTTTCAATTAAAATCTTCTTTTTCAAGTGTTAAGCGAATATTAATTTCAATCAGGGATTCAAGCTAATAAACTCGAAGATTTTGTAAATATACATTTTTGTAAACTATACTTTTCACTTCAATACTGAAATACAGAAAACTTTATTCCAGTTATATATTTTATGATATTTATATCTTTTCTTAAATATTTCAAAGAAAGTTATTCAATCTTTACAACCTTTTTGACTACAATACAACTGCAAAAATTATTAACTAAACAACCTATTTTTGACAATTTTTCTACGACATAATTGAGACAACATTCTTTTACATATAATTCACTTTCTCCAAAATTTTTTACAAACTCTTCACTTAATTGCAATTCATAGGTAAGTTTTTCCAAAAAATCTATATAAATTAAATTAATTATATTAATAAAGCTTATTATTTTATCAAAAATATAAATAAAAAATAAAACCTGATATTTTTTGAATAGACGTTAGATCCAAAAGCTTAAATCTACTTGTTGTATATTCTAATTCAGTAGCTAAATCGTATACTAATTTTAGCCCAATAATATGAAGAAGGTTCGCTTCATTTTCTTGATTTATTTTTTTCTAAAATAAAAAATATAATTATAATATATATATATAAAAAGAAATTATTAATTCTTTACCATAAGTTCTTCTTTTTCAGTTATTAATTTTTCTTGAATCTCGAAAAAAAAAAGACTATCTTTTGTATTATTATTTAAATTTCTAAGATCTTCATATAATTTTTTAAATTGGTTAGTAATTATAGTACTAATATTCTTCCATTCGCGTAAATATTTGAAATATTTATCAATTTCACCAACTAATAAATTGATTTCACTTAAGCAATTGCTTTCTAAATTAATCCTATTTGATTTTTCAATAAGTGAAAAAACTTCAGTTTTTAAATTAGCTAAACTAGAAAGGATATCAAATGCCAAATTAATCATATGATTAAAATCGAAAACTTTTTCATCAAATTCTTTAAAATATTCAAGCTGCTTATCAATTTCTTGAAGATATTTTTTGACTTCTTGGTGTTCTTCTATTGTTTCTGGGGATTCTTTCACTTTGCGTATGGCTTTTTCCAATTGTTCTAGAAGTGCTTTAGATGGTTTCAAATCTTCATCTTCCGCTATAACTACCTAAAATATACAAATGATTTATTATTAAATAAAATTTTAATGCATTAAAATTCAGATTTAATAATAATAAATATTTTTAGAACTTATACTTACATGCTGTAATTTATAAATTATTAAAAGTAATTAATTTATTAAAATTTGAATTCGATAATGTATTTTTTGAAATTTATACCCACTTTCTATAATTAATAGAAGTAATGTTTGATTTAATGAAACACTGCATTTTTGTTATGAAACATTCATCACAAGCAACGTCTGAAGAAACTTTATGATTGGTAAAATCTTTGACTAATGGTCATTTAGCTAACATCAAACAGGCCACTGTAAAGTGCTAAGCCGTAAATCCCTTATTAGTTGTACCCAGGGCAGTTTGAGGACTAAATTTTGATTTAGCATTCATACTATATCTCAAAGAATAGTATCTCCATGTTTTAAAGAACATCTTGTTAGTGTAAAACATTGAAGACTAGCAATGTTGAATGAGAAATGTACACTGAGTACATATCCTTCATAAATACCCGGATGCACTTTACAGTAATTTTATTATGTAGTCGATCAACCGAGTTGAATCAGTTGAATTGCCGTTAATAGTTTCCTGCACTTAACAGTTAAACGTTTGATTTTACTTCTTTTAATAATCAAATTAGTACATTTAGACAGATCAAATCTTGATAACTTATTATCTAATATTAAATTTAAGTAATTTTAGTATCATTAGACTCAGTTTATTAAGCTTAATCTAAATTTAATTATTATATAATAATTATCAAGATTTAATCAATGCCTAAATGTACTAATTTGATTGTCAAAAGAAGTATTGCGAATTTCTCGTCTTGATCTATTTTTTGCTACCTTATTTCTTACAAGAGTATATATCGAAAACTTTGGATATTTCTTGCAATTAGCGTAGGTGCAACCCACCTAGTCAATCAATCAGATCACAAGATTGGCTATAGTGAATGAAATAAAGATCGCTTTAGTTCTAAAACAAAAATTCCTTTACAAAAATTTTGGTTAGGTGTTTTTTACCTTAACCTGACTTAAATTGGATTCATATTATTTCACAGAAAACCAATTACGTAATAGCATTTCAATTTACAGAAATCAATTCATTAGAATCATTATTTATAATTTATTATTAAATTAGATTTAGGGTTAGGGCAATTTATAAGTAAATTAATTGTCTGCAAAATAAACTGTCTATTGCCTATGAAGTGAATCTGTCTTTCTGTGAATTAAAATAAAATTTCTGTTAATTGGTTTTTGAGAATTAGAATTCTATCAAGTGGTTTTCTGTGAAATAAGTGCCATCTTCTAAATTTGACCTAATTTTACGATACATCGCACCTGTGCAAAAGTATATGACTCTTTTTTTTTTACAATGTCGTACCAATTTTAAAATTTGACCAAGAGTAAATAATTTTCCACTTTGCAGGCAACAAGTAACCATGAACGAAAGGCCTTATTCACTTTGAATATTGAAATAGAGTTAAGAATTCGATTTCTTGAGTTAAACTTCAATAAACATAATTTTCTTAAGTAAACAAGTTTGTGATAATGAATGTTTATTTAACCAAATTTAAATTTTGTTAAATTTTTATCATAAACGTATTATTATCACGAATTTGTTATCTACTTAA